AGGGGTTTAGGGTTCAGGGGTTTAGCCTTGATTGAAGCCAAGGATGAGATGCTGAAGAGCAGCAAGAGCAGCCGAAAAGCGAAGGAGATGTCTGACGCCTGAGCCGAGCTGGCATTTAGGAATGGATTTGGGGCTCTCAAGTTGAAAAGTCTACACCCTAAACCTTAAACCCTAAACCCCAAACCCCAAACCCTAAACCCTAAACCGTGGCAGGGTCTAAGGAAGGGTTTAGGGAATCGGGTCTATCGGCTTGCGGTGCAGGATTTGGAGAGTTTTCGGGTCCAAGCGTTGTAGTGGTTTAGGGTTTAGGGTTTAGGTACGGTTAGGAAGTTGAGGATTTTATATTGGGTTTTATCTTCTTCTGGGAGCTATAGTGCCTTGAACGCGGAGTCCATGTAAGGCCTCAGCCATCACTGCGAACGAGGGTATAGGGATTAGGCTGTGGGTTCAGTTTAGGGTTTGTAGGGTTTAGGAGGTTTAGGGATTTTGGCTTTGGGTTTAGCCACTGAATTAGCCGGTTTAGTTTAAACCGGCTTCAGCCACGGTTGGAGAGTGATGTAGTAGGAGAGCGTGTCTGTGTAGCAGCATTTCTCTTGATCCGGTGGAAAAGAGCAACAATGGCTCCTGATATGCCCGAACCTAGGGACCTAAATAATTTCAGCTCGTTTTCCGAAGGGCTCGTTATCAATATAGACTAGGTCTGAATAATTACCCAATAGCATTGTCTTTGTTGTTTTAACTAGCGTTTAGGGTTTAGGCTGTTGTACGTAGCTGCACAGTAACATACCCCAAAATCCTATACAGTATAACGCACCCCATAAGCGTATTCCAACCAGTTGTCATACCCCGAGCCATGTCTTCGAGCTTCAGCGCCTCAACGTCTTAAGGGCTTGCGGTTTCGGCTTCGGGTCGAGGATTTCGGCAATAGGGGGTTAGGGTTTAGGGTTTAGGATTTAGGGTTTAGGGTTTAGGGATGTATTGATGGATCCACAGAAATTCGAGCTGCCCGTACCGACGAGCGCTCGTCGATGAGGGCATTTGCTCGCAGAAGCGAACCGCTTCTGACCACGCTTTCGCGGCAGATATGGGTCCCTTGGGGTCCACGTGCCCAAGTGGTAGTAGGGCCCTAGGTCCGCAATACGAATGTTTAGATTGAAGTTCGTAGAGGGTCCACGTGCCCAAGTGGTAGTAGGGCCTTAGGTCCGCAATACGAATGTTTAAGGTTCGTAGAGGGTCCACGTGACCAAGTGGTAGTGGGGCCTTAGGTCCGCAATACTGCACCCTGGACCTAAAAACCACTGTTTGAGAGCTTCGGCACTCACACGGGCTTTTGATGGCTCTTGTGGGATAACCCCAAAACCCTGAGCCTTAAGCCTTAAACAGCAACTAATGGGCTAACCGTATGCAGGGTACAAGACGTCGCGTTCTGTATCATGCTATACAAACTTTAGGTCAAGGCTCGCCGATTACAGTAGGCTGCCGGGGCGTAAAATCGGGTTTCGGGCTTTGGATTTAAGCTAACAGTTCCTTCAAGGGCTCCTTGCATGTATAACGGCGTTTTAGGGTTTTGATTAAGTTGCCTGAATAACTGGTGATCTTCTTCCTCCAGAATCCTTATTATAGTGATTACTATAAGCACGCCGAAGCTGGATTCCAATTACTCAGCCGCCTATCTTACTGGCCTGTTGTGAGATGGAGACTTTCGTGCTCTCATAGTCGTATCTGATAAGGACCCATACATACTGAGCTATAATTAAGCTTAGAGTCTAAATGCACAGACTAAAGCACTTGTATACCCCTACCCCTAAACCTGGCACCGAATGACAGAAAGCCCGTTGCAAAGTCTATGACATAGGCATAAGCTTAAAGGGACCCATCGTCGAAGACGCACGCTGTCTCATGCGGCCTCAGGCAGAAAAATGTTTCTCTTCGGTGTAGCTTCCCCTAAAAATCACCTGAACCCCTCTATCCTGCAGGGTTTCGTCTGTGCATCAGCAAGTGCTGGTATCTGCTGCAACTACCAGTCTTTTCATCATGATGAGCAGCAGAAAGGAGCAACCCTGTTATCTTTCTTGTTCGTCATACCTTTCTAAGACCCTACACACCCTAAAGATCAAGCTGGGGACTACCTGCTCATTGGATCACGGTGCTTAGTAAAGTGTGGCTCCTTCAACAGCTTCAAGCAAGCCTGAACAGAAACCCGAGATGTCAATGTGCTGATTACTGACATCCTTGGCTGTTTTTTGTGTTTTGAATATAGATCCCATGCGTCCGCAGACTTTTACCTGGTTTTCAGATTTCCTCGTGCCGAAAACGTGCTTCATCCGTTTAAGCCTAAGCCTCAAAGCCGTAAGCCCTAAATTCTAAGCCCTAAACCCTTAAACCCTGCATCCTAACTAAACCCTGAATCCTAAACCCCTAAAGTCTAAGCAGTAACCCCAACACCCGAAACCCTGCCTCAGCATCTTCATAGCGGCTGGGAGAGTCCCGAAATTCTCCGGGCTACTACAGGCTAGACGCCCAAAACACTCCAAAAAAGGACATTCTATGCATCCTTGCCGCAGGCCCTTTATATGAATCCTGGGAGACCCTAAACCCTAAACCCTAAACCCTAAACCCTAAACCCTAAACCCTAAAACCCTAAACCCTAAACCCCAAACCGTCCGTTCAAACCGCTAAGGCCCCAATCGGACAAATCGTGCCTCATAGAGTGCAACCCCACCTGACTGACGCCAGCCGTCGAACCTCGTGGGACTCTACAAGGACAGCTCACTTTACCTAAACTGTTGGGGCTCTCTATTTTTCACAAACTATCAAGGAGCCCCAAACACTATTCTAACTATTAAGGCCCCTACATTAAACCCTAAACCCTATAAACCCCTAAAATGTACGATGTGCGGCTTTTACGGTTCAGGGTTTAAGGAGGGTGAGGGTTAGGATAAGAGCTTAGTCGAGTTTGGCTTTCTAGCTTATTTCACAAGTCCGTGGGATGTATGGGGTCTCTTTAGGGTTTTGCAAACTTCAGATCTGTTGTGAAGTTTCAGGCGGTCTGTAGGGTTTAGGGTTTAGGGTTCAGGGGGTTCAGGGTCTAGGGTTTAGGGTTAAGGGTTTTGGGTTCAGGGGGTTCAGGTTCCGGGAAGGGGTTCAGGGCTGTCGCCGATATACATAGAACACTCAGCCGTAGGTTCCTTGTTGTTATATATACACACATACACGCATGCATACATTAGGTAGACCAGGGTATTGGGACTTGACTTGGGATGATTCAGGATTTTCCGTAAGCTCCAAACCCCAAACCCTAAACCCCTAAACCCCTAAACCCCTAAACCCTAAACCCCCAAACCCCTAAGGGCTGGCTGTTCATTGAGGTGGTTTTTCCTTGTAATCATCCTTCCAGGCTCCAGTTTAACAGCATCTGCTACATCTAAGGTTAGAAGTATGGGCCCCTAATATGGACCCTTGGGCCTTTCTAGGGAGCCTTAAGGGTACATATCGGGTATATAGCAGTTGCATAAGGATCCCAGGGTGAAGGGCCCAAACTAGGGGCGCATGGCTTCAACCTTAGATTATACCTGCAGGGCCTCTACGACTCCATGTATACATAGTAAGCCCCTCAACCCTTAACCCGAACTATTCCTTCTGGTTCCCTAAGCCCCAAGCCCAAAACTCCAAATCCCTAAACCCTAAATCCCTAAACCCCAGAACCCAAGACCCAACACCCCTAAGCCTTGAATCCCTGACCCCGGTACCCAAAGCCAAAAACCGCCGAATCGTTTGGCTTTCTGGAGGACTCGACTCTCGAACTGCCAAAACCCCTCACAAGCCAAAGAAAGCCAAGATTCCAAAGTGCCTGTTGAGTTTACAGCGAACCCCAGAAGGTTGGAACGTGGATTTAGGAGGGTTATTGCGAAGATCCCTTATACTTAACCTTAAGGGTATGAGGACTGTAATGATCCAACTTTCTGGCTTCTACTATAGGGTGTAGGGCTGAGGGTCTAGGTGCTTGGATTTATGTGTTATAAACGGCTGAGAAGGGCTCTGTTGGTGTTGTACAAGGGTTTAGAGTATAGGTCAATGGAAATGTAGGGACGTTTGGGGAGTATATCAGTACTATGGTATCTACAGAAACCCTGCCAAAACCCTAGACTAAAGCCCTGAACTCTAAACCCTAAAGCCCTAAAGCCCTAAGCCCTGAAACCCTAAAACCCCAAAGCCCTAAACCCTGAAACCCTAAACCCTAAAACCCTAAAGCCCTAAAGCCCTGAAGCCCTGAACCCTAAACCGTAAATCCCTCAAGCCCGAAGCCCTAAGCCCTAAGCCCTAAACCCTAAAGCCCTAAAGCCCTAAAGCCCTAAAGCCCAAAAAACCCTAAAACCCTAAAGCCCTAAACCCTAAAGCTCTAAACCCTAAACCCTAAACCCTAAACCCTAAACCCTAAATCCCTAAAGCTCTAAACCCTAAACCCCAAACCCTAAACCCTAACCCTAAAACCCTAAAGCCCTAAACCCTAAACCCTAAGCCCAAAAAACCCTAAAACCCTAAACCCTAAAGAACCCTAAACCCTAAAAGCCCTAAAAGACCTAAAGCCTAAATCCTAAACCCCCAAAACCCTAGAAACCCTAAACCCTAAACCCCTGATAAAGGCAGCTTAAC